AAAAGGTAGTGACCACTGTTAACAAGTAAACAAACAAAAAAGGTAGTGACCACTGTTAACAAGTAAACAAACAAATGAAAGGGTATTGACCACTGTTAAATAGTAAACAAACAGAAAGTTATTGTCCACTGTTAACAAGTAAACATAAACAAATGAAAGGGTATTGACCACTGTTAAATAGTAAACAAACAGCAGAAAAGGTACTGACCACTGTTAACAAGCATAAACAAATGAAAAGATATTGATCACTAGATGTGGGCAATTAACTTTATTTATGTGCATTCAATAGATTGGTTAGTCAAAATTATGACTAAATCAATTAATGTCATAAAAAATAATTAATTCCAACTATCAAAGCAATCAAAATATTGTCATTATGATTTCTCGTTATTTATGATTAATTCAAATTTTTTCCGCTTAATTGATTAGGTCCATTATTTACAAAAATAATCAACTAATTATGATTATTGCTGGTTCAATTATTCTAACTATCAAAGTAATTGAAATACTGCCATTATGATTAATTATTTTTTCAGTTAATTCAAGTTTACTGACAAATTGGGCAATGTGGTAATATTTAGCCCCCCCTATAATACTAAAGGGTTTTTTTTTGGTTATTTTTCAACAAATTTTCCCCCCAAAAATCATGTTTAAATAATCTTACAATATCATTTATATAGTTTTCCTGATACACTTAAATTATTTTGAGTGATCTTGTGCCCAGATGACATAAATATCATTGAAACTTTAGCCAAAAAACTCTTTAGTGGGCTTTTGACGACAGCCTAACTTTGGATGTGCAGTAACAAGAAACTGTAGAATATTTTATGAGTATATTGGCTACATAAATCTGCTCCTTCTCCTGGAATTAAACTCAGTTCATACATGCATATTTCTGTGCAGCATACAACCTATTTAAAGCAGCAGGAAATAATTTTCATTATAAATCAAACACACTTCTTTTTCATGAAGATTAAAATGATAACCCGTATAAAAAAAATACACATTTTGAGTAAATGTTTAATAACTAATGATCTTTGAATTAAGACAACTTATTCTCACCTGCACTGTTCTACAAAGGGAGTTCTTAAGTTCTGTACTGATGAAAGTGTTCAATTCATTACTGTAATTATTAAGGTTAATAAAAGTTACACTGAATATCTCATATGTACTTAATTACCTGTATTTTAGGGTTAAGCCCATCTGCTGCTTTGGATCCTTCGGTAGTAGACTTTATATTTTGAGACTGTGGCATTTGGGGTTTGTCTTTAGCAGCCCGTCCCTTCGGTGGGCCAGCTGAACTCATTATACACAAAACACAGTATATACAAAACCTAAAAAATGAAGTTATTACTTTAAAGAAAACAATAATACAAGTTTAAGTATTTCAATAAAGTTATAACACAAGATACACTGCACAACTTACCCTTACTTGACCATGCACAGCATCTAAGAAGAATCTACTACTAATTCACACAAGTCAATACATTCTTTAACATCCATGTGAAAAAATTCAAACAGCATGTCAAACCATTTGCTAAGTTTTATCACAGAAAAAAATAGCTTTTTCTGAGAGAAGTATACATTTAGGCTTGTCACACTTAAATCCATTACACTAAATTACACTTTATTTAGGGGTTTCATTAATTAGATAGTTTCAACCTTTTATAATTTGTCTCAAAACATAGAGGTGTGTTATTTATGACAATGGAGAAGTTTTATTTGGTCAAGCCTACCATTTTCACCACAGTGCTTAGCCATCTTATCTCATAGTTTGTAAGAGTTAGCACTGTAACCTAGCAACGACCAGGGTTCAGTTGTTCCATTTCAGCAGGGACTAAAGAATTTAATAACACCATAGTCAACCATGTTCTTCCAAAACAACATGCGAGATGTAGTTTATGTGAATAAAAATTCACACAATTACAAGGAAGAGTGTAGGTTCAGTAGGAAATAAATGTGGGAAAAGGCAACTAGTCAGAACAAGTGTTATTCCAATAATTCTTTGTAAAATGCATCTTCACTTGTGACAGTTATATTTTCTCTCTATAAGATGAGAAGAGAAACTGACATGAGTAAATTCTTTTTTTATAAATTTAATAAACATCACATACTCGCAATGAAACCCCTGTTTTTTCTTCCTGCCACTCAAACAGACAACCCATGGGAAGATTAATCCCCTACAAAGTTTCTCGAATGTTTGATCTCTCCTGTAATAAAGGAACAATTTCATGTAAGGCCTCACCAGCCTTATGCTATTTATTTCAATATTTTTATATCAAAATCACTAAATTTCTGCTCTAAACATTCAACAAATGTTAATAATTACAATAAAGCTTTCTTACTGACATTAGATACATTCTTCTGTCACTATAAATCCTTTTTAAATTAATGTAACACTGGTGACTTACTTAGTTTCTCAAAATTAAAACTCATTTTCCATATTCTGCAAACACATCACAAGACTGTAGTGTAAATCAACCTAAACATGCAGCTTTGAATTTGACTGTCTGTAAGACTTCTGTTTTAACCAATGATATGGCTATATACACATGAAAGTATTTAACATAGCATTAAAGGACAACAAGGTACCTCTTGGTCCACCTAGGCTGTCCTATCTGTTAAATTAAACCAAATACTAAAAAGATCAAAGCCTACCATTATCGTTCAAATATTTATCAAGCTTTCCCTTAAATTACTGCCACTACCACATCAGAAAACAACCCATCCCAAAGGCCAACTGCCATGTTAGTGTCAGAGAAATAAAGTTGTCTCAGCTGAAGATGACTTCTACTCTGCAAAAATTTATGTTTGAGTCTCTTAGTCCTACCATTCTCACCACTGAATACACAAAAAAAAGATGTTGCACCAACACTATAAATTCCCTTTACAATTTTAAATACTTCAATCAGATCCCCTCTAACTCTTCTTTTTTTAAAAAAAAAAGTTCAGAGAGCTTAACCCATCCTCGTATGGTATCACATATCATCCTAGTAGTAGCCCTCCTCTGAACCCTTTCCAACAATTTAATGTACTTTCTCAGGTAAGGAGCCCAAGAATGAACACAGTATCCAAATGTGGCCAAACTAATGACCTATACAATGACATTATAATCTCTTTAAACATGTATTTAATATTTGACACTTCCTCTACTACAACAAATTAATGCTTTAGTTACTTAGTAATACTACTACTAGAAGAAGTTAGAAATAATATAATTTGATACTGATAAATGAAATACTTCCAATAGGACAATTTCATAATGAAATAATCTAGTTCTGTTAGTGGTACTTTTATTTATTTTAATTTGCACTGTTTAGTGTCGTTTACCAAACTAAAGCTGTTACTATTATGAATGTAAATCAATTTGAGCCAAAAAGTGCGTGTTTATGTGTATAAACTTAAACAGTGATACGAACTTCAGTCTCAATGAGTCGAAATTAAATCATTTTGTTAATCATAATGTTAGGCTTAACACAAGTCTCAAGCACGCGGTAAAGGCGTAGCCTATCAGTACACGATCTCCTTTAGTAAGTCCCTGTTCTGGCTGTAGGCCTAATAATATCTAATACTAACTCAGTAACTTAACTTAAAGAGTGGTAGTGTTAACTTAAACACTAACGTGAAACAAAGAACACTACCTCATATTACTATGTTTATTTTAAGATACATAATTTTCAAGCTGTCATAAAAATAAATAATAAAACATCAAGCAACTACAAGTTAAAAGTGCATACAGAATTAAAACGACATAATCAACCTTAAAAATAAACTTATCTACTTCGTAGCTCAAACACCATGTTATTAATTTACCTGGAACTGCGCTCACAAAAACCTAGTCACGTGATCTGATCGTGATGCATGTTATCATGGCTGACGTATGGTTAATTATTTTGTACATTTTAATTATTATATTGTTGTCAATTTTAAATCACTTCATTAAACCATGAACGATTTTATAGTGTATATAATGCATATGTTTCAACATTTGTCCTATTAAAAAAGTTTGAAAAACTATTTGAATGCTTAAGAAAATCACCACCAGGAAAACTTTTTTGACATTGTGAAAAAATCACACTAAAGTGACTAAACTGTATACACATATACAATTATTTATACTTCCCCATACTATTGTTAATACAAGTTTCAAGTCAGAGATATGGAAACACGATGAAGAATTTAAAGTTGTGGTATTAAGCGCTTAAAGCAATAGACTCAATAGGCTGAATATTTATAATAAAAGTCGCGTTAGACTCCAAAGTTTTCTCTACTCATAATTATGTTATCTAATCCATTAAAAATTTCAAGTCAAGGTGTGCAAAACAATATTTCACATCTATCTTTTCTTCACCAAGAGATTTCTTGCTCATTGCTTATCTATCGTGATTTTTATCATGAATCTATTGGACTTAATATTTCGCCAGCTTTTCATATTTACCATGGCAACAAGGTAAAAAAATTACAATAACAACCAATGAAACATTATCAATTACGATAGATAGTTTTCCAAATTTCGAAATATATATGATATCTTCTAAATGTAAAAGTAGAAAGTGATAAAAAGTCAAGGCATGAAACAAGCATTTACCTTTTATAAGTATGAAAGCTGAAGAAATGTATCGTTTACTGTATAATTACAAAACTCGCAAAGGAAAAGTGATAAGACAAGAAAGATGTTATAATATATATTAATAGGTGTCAATTAAGTAAACGTCATTTCAAGATTTG